GGAGCAGCTGCGTGCGTGGTACTTAGAGTACTGCAGCCTCCGGAGAGGTACCGCTCGAGCCGGACGTACTACTGGGACTGGTGCTAGTGCTTCTTCTCCCGTTCGGGAGCTCCCCTCCCGCGAGCGGATCCGTGAGTGGTACGAGCGGCGCTGCACTCTTCGGAGTGGCGTGCCTCGTGTTACGGACCCCGCTGCTGTTGGAGCTGCTGCTGGTGCTGAGGACCCGGGCGTTGGAGCTGCTGCTGGTGCTGAGGACCCGGGCGTTGGAGCTGCTGCTGGTGCTGAGGACCCGGGCGTTGGAGCCGCTGCTGGTGCTGAGGACCCGGGCGTTGGAGCTGCTGCTGGTGCTGAGGACCCAGGCGTTGGAGCTGCCGCTGGTGCTGTGGACCCGGGCGTTGGAGCTGCTACTGGTGCTGAGGACCCGGGCGTTGGAGCTGCCGCTTGTGCTGAGGACGTGGGCGCTGGAGCTGCTGCTGGTGCTGCGGACCCTGGTGCGGGTGTCCCTGCTGGCTATGGTGTCGCTGCTCGGTCTCGGCCGTACTTTGTTCCGCTCCTTCAGCAGGTTCTTGGTTAGCTTCCTCCTCCTTTTCCTCCTCCCTCCTTAGCGTGTCCTCCGCCTGTCCAACTGCAGTCGGCGTTACCGTCTACCTCCTCTCTCCCTGGTCCTGCTCCTTACACTGGTCCGACTGGAGGTCTTACTGAGCGGCGTGAGCCTGCGTCTCGTCCTGCGTCGCCTGAGTCTCGTCCTGAGTCGCCTGTCCGCACTGCTCTCTCTAGTAGTCGAGTCTAGCGTCAGCGTCTTCCTGCTGTCCCAGGCACTCACCGGATGGCGCTTCGTCCGTCCACTGCTCCACAGCGTGTCCCACTGCCGTCTCCCCCTGCTTCCTCTCTTCCTGCTCTTGCTGACCCTGGGTCAGACTCTCTTCGTGCTACCAGTCCTACTGTCACGCGTCTCCTGGCTACTGTTGTCACTGACCCTTCCTTTGAGTCTGCTGCTGCGTCTGCCTTAGTTGCTGAGCTTGTCGACTTTGCTGCTCGCTGTCGTCTAGACTACGCTGCTAGCCTAGTTGCTGAGTCTGAGTCTGTCTGTCCTCCGTCCGTCGGGGGTGAGTGTGCTCTTGGCACTGACGTCCTTGAGGACAGGCAGGAGGAGTTTGAGTGCTTTGCTGCCGCTTTGCCCCATCTCGTGTCCATGCTTGTTGCCCCTGAGGGAGACCCGGATGCACCAGACATCCCGACCCCACGCTCTTACGCAGAGGCGATGGCCGGTCCCTACTCCTCTCAGTGGCTGTCAGCCATGGACACAGAGATGGCTTCCTGGAAGTCCACAGGCACCTACGTCGACGAGGTTCCCCCACCTGGGGCGAACATCGTCAGTGGCATGTGGATTTTCAGGGTGAAGCGGCCGCCACGCTCTCCGCCTGTCTTCAAGGCGCGTTACGTTGCACGAGGCTTCAGTCAGCGAGAGGGAGTTGACTTCTTCCAGACCCTCTCCCCGACCCCGAAGATGACCACTCTTCGGGTTCTGCTGCACGTCGCCGCTCAGCGTGACTACGAGCTCCACTCGCTTGACTTCAGCACTGCTTTCCTGCAGGGCAGCCTGCACGAGGAGATCTGGCTGCGCCGTCCACCTGGCTTCACTGGGTCGTTCTCTCCTGGTACCCAGTGGAGCCTCCGACGGCCAGTCTACGGTCTCCGCCAGGCGCCTCGTGAGTGGCACGACACACTGAGGACTACGCTTGCGGCTCTTGGGTTCGCGCCTTCTACTGTTGACCCGTCGCTGTTTCTACGCACCGACACCTCACTGCCGCCGTTCTACGTCGTTGTGTACGTCGACGACTTGGTCTTTGCTACTGCTGACACTGTGGCACTCGCCCACGTGAAGTCGGAGCTGCAGAAGAGACACACGTGCACAGACCTGGGTGAACTGACAAGCTATCTTGGCTTGCGGATCACCCGGGACAGAGCACGCCGCACCATCACCTTGACTCAGTCACACATGGTGCAGCAGGTCCTTCAGCGCTTCCGCTTCACGTACTCCTCGCCTCAACCCACTCCTCTGCCTACCGGTCACTCGCTCTCAGCTCTGCCTTCGGATGAGTCCGTAGAGCCGAGTGGCCCGTATCCAGAGCTTGTGGGTTGCCTCATGTACCTTATGACCTGCACTCGACCAGACCTTGCATACCCTCTCAGCATTCTTGCACGCTATGTCGCTCCCGGCCGTCACTGGAAGGAGCACATGGATGCAGCTAAGAGGGTGTTGCGCTACTTGTGCAGTACGTCGGGCATGGGGCTAGTGCTTGGAGGGCGAGTCCCAGTTGTTCTCACTGGGCACTCAGACGCTTCTTGGGCAGACGACCAGGCTACTCAGCGGTCGTCTCAGGGTTACTCCTTCAGTCTTGGCTCTGGTTCTGTTTCTTGTTGTTCTACTCACTCTTCTTCTGTTCTCAGCTCCAGTTGTGAGGCTGAGATCTACGCCACGGCCATGGCGGCCCAGGAGCTACGCTGGCTCACCTACTTGCTGACCGACCTTGGAGAGCAGCCTCGTTCTCCTCCAGTGCTGTTCGTCGACAACAAGGCAGCCATTGCCTTGTGTGAGGAACACAGACTGGAGCACAGAACGAAGCACATCGCTCTGCGTTACTTCCTTGCTCGAGAGCTGCAGCAGCGTGGTTAGCTTTGCCTGCGTTACGTGGCCTCTGAGGCCAACACTGCTGATGTGTTCACCAAGGCGCTTCAGCCTTGTGACCATCAGCGCTTTTGCACTCTTCTAGGCCTTGTGCCTATTGGACCTCACTTGCTTACTTCTTTAGTCTGTTTGTACTGTGATCTCTATATATATACCTGCATGTTTACTCTTGTTAGGTTGTGATCATTGTACCTTTTGCTCTATTATAAACCTGCATGTGAACTGGTCTTGTGACCACTTGCTTGTGCTCGGAATTTGTGTGGTATCCTTGAGATCCACCCTGAGCTTGTTTTGCCTTGCTTTGCCTTGACTGGTCTTGTGACCCCTAGTTCTCCCCCACTTTGCCTATGGGGGTGTGTCAAACATTATATATGTTGTGTTAGTATAGGCTACAGTGGGTTAGCCTATAGGGGGTACACAATTCTAGGGTTAGGTACTTGTACTCATTTCACTGCTAGTTCATCCATTCCTGTTCAGTGATTCCAACAATGTCAGAATGTGAAAGCGAGAATGATGAAACTAACAGCACGCCGGAGTACATGTACTTAACCCTAATTTGGTTGTACCCCATATGGGCTACCCCACTACAGCCTACACAATATGCAACATATATGTTTGACACATCGAACCAAGAACAGTCACGAACTAGCCAGATGTCTTACCACCATGAACGGTTGGAAACTTGATATTCATGCTTTTCGGCCATACACAATTAGGTCACGGTTCAGGGCGAAGCCTGGACACCATCAACCCAAAATGACTCTCAATGACGTGTAAACACACCTGATCATTTGTCATCACACTGTGTTCCAGATAGCTAGGAGCATGGAAACCAGTGAGACGTGCACATTGCTACCAAAGTGTCCACACTTCAGATGGTGTCCAAACTTAAGAACCGTGATCTTAGTCACAAATATGATTTCTAAAGTTAGAATTAGTCACAAATACGTTTGTGACACTTTCTTTTCGACATGTCCTGAGCGGAATGTATCCTAAGTCACACTTGGGTTTATGACTTTTTGTATAGGTGCATGCGCTTATACTTCCTACTCGATTAGAAGGGCACCCCCTAAAAAACCCTTCTTTATTGTAAGCGCACCTGCGCTTACCGTCATCGCCCAGATATAAGACAGTGTTGAATAGTAGACAGGGGTTGTCTATTATACGGGTGTCTCTTATAAACAGGCTAGCCTTATTATACGACACCTATTTGTGTGTACGATGTCAAACTTATATCATATAGCTTGTCTAGGCTATAGTGGGGTAGACACAATGGGGTACACTTTCCTAGGGTTTCCTACTTGTACCCAACCTTGTGCTAGTTCATTCATTCCTCATTTCTTCACATGGTATAGAGCAGGTTCCCCAGTGGGAACGCTTCCTTGGGCCCACCATTGAAACCTTTTTTTTTCTGACCAGAGCGTCAGTCGCTCCTGCCCGAGGCGCGCCTTGTTCGCCGCCCTTCCAAGCCCCTCGCGCCCCTAGCGGCCTCGTCGCCGCCCCTACGTGGCCCCGTCGCCGCCCCTAGCGGCCCCGTCGCCGCCCCTAGCGGCCCCGTCGCCGCCCGTAACGGCCCCGTCGCCGCCCCTACGCGGCCCCATCGCCGCCCCTAGCGGCCCCGTCGCCGCCCCTACACGGCCCCGTCGCCGCCCCTAGCGGCCCCGTCGCCGCCCCTACGCGGCCCCGTCACCGCCTCTTGCAGCCCCGTTGCCGCCTCTCTACCTACGCGGCCCCGTCGCCGCCCCTAGCGGCCCCGTCGCCGCCTCATTACCTAGCGGCCTCGTCGCCGCTCCCCTTCCTACGCGGCCCCGTCGCCGCCACTACGCGGCCTCGTCGCCGCCCCTACCCGGCCCCGTTCCCGCCCCTACGCAGCCTCGTCGCCGCCCCTAGCGGCCCCGTCGCCGCTCCCCTCCTTACGCGGCCTCGTCGCCGCCCCTACACGGCCCCGTCGCCGCCCCTACGCGGCCCCGTAGCCGCCCCTAGCGGCCTCGTTGCCGCTCCCCTCCCTAAGCGGCCCCATCGCCGCCTCTGCCGGCCCCGTCGCCGCCTCTCTGAGCCGCCCAGCAGCTGAGCCACCCAACAGCCGACCCGCCGAGCCGCCCAGCAGCCATGCCGCCGAGCCGCCCAGCAACCGACCCGCCGAGCCGCTCGACAGCCGAGCCGCCCAGCAGCCGAGCCGCTAAGCTGCCGAGCCGCCCAGCAGCCGAGCCGCCGAGCCGCCCTACCGTCGAGCCGCTACTGTTCCTACCGGCGCGCCCCGGCCCTACTTACTCGGACTGGTGGGATCACTCCCTGCTAGGTCACTGCAGTCATGGCTACCCCCAGTGTCCTTACCTTTGATGCTGAGGGTCGTGCTGTTGACTTTGAGGTCTGGGTCGATGACCTCCAGCTGTTCCTACAGTGCGATAGGGCAGACGGACTCTCCCTGTTCGATCTCACCTCTAGAGCCTCTCTTGCCCCGCCTGCTACTGCTGACAGCACTTTTCGCTCACAGTGGGCCACACGCGATGCTGCTGCCCGTCTTGCTGTGCGTCGTCACTTACCGACCACTAAGCGTGCGCACTTTAGCCAGTACAAGAGTGCTAAGACCTTGTACGACGCTGTAGTTGCACGCAACTCTTCCCCTGCCACTGCTCAGCTGTGCCGCCTCATGCTACCGTACCTTTTCCCTAACCTTGCTGCCTTTCCCACAGGTAATGACCTCATTACGCACCTTCGCACTAGTGACACTCGCTACCGCGCTGCGCTTCCTACTGAGTTCTGTGCGAAGAACCCCCCCCCCATGTACATCACCCTCTACTACATAGTCACCCGGCTCCCTGACTCCCTTCGCTTAGTCAGGGACCACTTCCTCTCAGTTTGCCCCACCACACTCACCGTTGACCTCCTCGAGGAGCGCCTCCTAGCAGCAGAGAAGATCATAGTCGCTGTAGGAGCCTCTCGTGGTGACCCTCGCACCCCCGTCTTTGAGGGGTGTTCCCCCTCCCCCCTTTTGCCCTCTGTTGCTTCTCCTGCTGCGGCCGACCTCGTTGGCTTCGAGTCGGTCGGCGCTGCGTCTGCCCCTAGCGGGAGACGCCGCACCGGCAAGGGCAAGGGGGGCAAGGGCGCTGGAGGGGCTGGCGGGGGCGGTGGAGGTGGTGGTGGAGGCAGTGGAGGGGGTGGGGGTGGTGGTGGGAGTGGTGGCGAGGGTGGAGGTGTCGGTGGCAGCAGTAGAGGCGGAGGAGGCGGCGGCGGTGGCGGAGGGAGCGGAGGCGGCGGAGGTGGCGGAGGTGGCGGAGGCGGCGGAGGTGGTGGAGGAGGCGGCGGCAGCGGTGGAGCTGGTCGCGGCTCTGCGCAGAGGAGTGGGTCTGGTGGTGGTCCACGCCAGCAGCAGCAGCGCAGTCGTGAGATCCTGTCCCCTCAGCAGCTTCGTGAGTGGTACGAAGTGCGTCAGCGCGGTGGGGGTACGGGTCCCTGCACCTACATCCTCCGTACCGGCGACCGCGCTGGTGAGCAGTGCGGGGGCCCGCACTCCACCCAGCGCTGCTTCCGCCGCCTGACGGACGCGTGGCGTCACCAGTTTCCTGACGCCTCTGAGATCCCTCGTTGGGGAGAGCTGTCAAAGGCGGGGGTTGCTATCTTTGATCTTGATTATGATGCTATTCTTGCTGCCATGTATGCTGTGTCTGATAGTGTTCACGGTGACTGCTACCTATGTGTTCCGCCTGACGCGGGCATTGAGGTTGCTGCTCTAGGTGCTGGTGAGGCTGCTGCTCTAGGTGCTAGTGCGTCTGCTGCCCCAGGTGCTGGTGAGTCTGCTCTCTCAGGTACCACGTCGGCTCAGGCCTTACACACCTTCACCCTTGACTCGGGTGCTTCCCGCTCCTTCTTTCGAGACCGCACCACGCTTACGCCGCTTAGTCGGCCGGTTGCGGTCTCCCTGGCGGACCCCTCTGGGGGTCCTGTCCTTGCTAGCTTCTCCACTGTCTTACCGTGCCCGGCAGCCCCCTGTGGCACCCTGTCAGGTCTCTACCTCCCCTCGTTCTCTACGAACTTTGTGAGTGGAGCTGATCTACAGGATAGGGGGGTTGACCAGTTCACTCCTGCGAGTCAGCGGGTGACCCACTGTACGTGTGCTCCGACAGGCCGACACTTAGCCACGTTCACCCATCGGCCAGGGTCGAGCCTGTACACACTTACTACTGAGTCTCCTCCGGCTGCTGAGTCTGGTCAGGTAGCTGCGTCGAGTCAGGTGTTTGCCGCAGCGTCCAGGACTGGTCCTGAGTCTGCTCCCTGCTCGTGTCGTCTCCTGTCCCAGCAGACTCTCCTTTGGCACCACCGCCTTGGTCACCCCTCCCTGCCTCGTCTCCGAGGCATGGCCTCCCGTGTCCTTGTCTCTGGTCTCCCCCGGTCTCTCCCTCCCCTGCCTCCGGGGCCTGCCCCTACCTGCGTCCCCTGCGTCGAGGGGTGAAAGCGCGCTGCCCCTCACTCCTCCGAGTTTCCTCCGACAGATGCTCCGCTGCAGACTCTTCACATGGACGTGTGGGATACATATAGCCAACCCTAAAAGGGTTGTACTCACTGTAGAGTACCCCACTACAGACTAGAGAAACATAATATTCTGACACACCCCCATAGTCAAAGTGGGGTGTAATCAGCACAAGAAGCAAAGCAGAACAAGCTCAGGGTGGATCACAATGTCACCACACATTCTGAGCAGTAGTACAAGAAGCAACAGTTTAAAGTTCACAAATGTAAGCACAGCTAGAGGCTATCGCAGAGGGCAAGTGTGGAGGAGGAGGGACTATGAGAGGAGAGGAGGTAGTGGGCGGCAACTGAAGCTGCTGGCACAGGCGCAAATGGAGCAACTAGCACACGGCCAACTGGAGCAACTGGCACACTGGCAACTGGAGCTACTAGCACACGGGCTACTAGAGTAACTGGCTCTGCGGCTGACTCTGAGCAGCAGGAGCAACGGACTCACAGGCGACTGGAGCAACGGGCTCACGGGCGTCTGGCGCAACGGGCTCACGGGCGACTGGCGCAACGGTCTCACGGGCGACTGGAGCTGTGGGCTTCACGGCGGCCACCCCCTTCAACCTCCACAAACTATCCCACCCCCATTTCACACACCCCCTACTGCACCCCTAGGTTCACTCACACCCCACCCCCTAGCACCACTCCGTCAACTCCCACACACCCACCCCCCTCAGCGGCAGCTGCACCAGTGGGAGACAGAGGAGGAGGAGGAGCAGGGGAGACCACACACCCGCCACCCCCTACTCGCCACCCCCAAACCCTAACACAGGGCAGGGCGGGATGGCGGGTAGGGAGGTTACGGGGGGGGGGGGGAGGAAGGGGGGGGGGGGCGACGCGCGGCCTCCCAGGGCGCCAAAGCAGGCGGCAGAAGGGGCGACGCTCGCCCCCCCCCCCCCCCCCCCCAGGTCGCCCCTCAAGTCCCCTCAGGTCGCCTCAACAGGCGACGGGAAAAGAGGGGGGGGGGGCGGTGCACGTGCCCCCGGTGCGCCGCGACACGCTACGGAGCATGGCCGGGCGAGGCCAATAGGGGCGGCGACGGGGCCGCGAAGGGGCCGCTAGGGGCCTGGAAGGTCGGCGACGGGGCCGTTAGGGGCGGCGACGGGGCCGCGAGGGGCCTGGAAGGTCGGAGACGGGGCCGTTAGGGGTGGCGACGGGGCCGCGAAGGGGCCGCGAGGGGCCTGGAAGGTCGGCGACGGGGCCGTTAGGGGCGGCGACTGGGCCGCGAAGGGGCGGCGACGAGGCCGCTGGAGGCGGCGACGGGGCCGATAGGGGCGGCGACGGGGCCGCGAAGGGGCCGCGAGGGGCCTGGAAGGGCGGCGACGGGCCGCTAGGGGCGGCGACGGGGCCGCGAGGGGACGAGAAGGGCAGCGTCGGGGCCGCAAGGGGTGGCGACGGGGCCGCTAAGGGTCGCGCGAGGGGCACGCCTCGGGGCATGCAGCACACAGAGTAACAGCGAAAGCAGTTAGATGGGCCCACAAGCCAGGAGCGTAGATGCTCTAATAGCATGTGAAGAATGAGGAATGAAAGAAGAGAGGGGTTTCACTAGCAAACATTGGGATACATATAGCCAGCCCTAAAAGGGTTGTACTCACTATAGAGTACCCCTCTGCAGACTAGAGAAACATAATATTCTGACAGCCCCGCCCGCGTCCGTGGCCAGGGGCACGAGCGTTACTTCCTGTTGGTGGTTGACGACTACTCGCGTTACACCACGGTGTTCCCCTTGCGCAGCAAGGTTGACGTCACTGAGTTTTTGATCGACTAGATCCGCGCAGCTCGTCTCCAGCTCAGAGAGAGTTTCGGCTCGGACTTTCCTGTTCTGTGTCTGCACTCTGACAGAGGCGGGGAGTTTTCCTCTGCCCGTCTGGGAGCCTTCTGTCAAGCACAGGGCATCCGCCAGACCTTCACGCTTCCGGCCTCTCCACAGCGAAATGGGATTGTTGAGCGCCGCATTGGCATGGTCATGGACGTCGCTCGTACGTCCATGATCCATGCAGCTGCCCCCCAATTTTTGTGGCCGTTTTTTGGTTCAGTACGCAGCGCTCAGCTCAACCTTCAGCCCCGGGTCTCCCTGCCAGAGACATCCCCCACCTTGCGGTGGACGGGGAAGGTTGGCGATGCGTCTGCGTTTCGGGTCTGGGGATCTCGGGCGTTTGTCGACAACTTGTTTGCGGACAAGCTCTCCCCCCGTGCTGTTCCCTGCGTCTTCCTTGGCTTCCCCCCTGACGCGCCTGGGTGGCAGTTTTACCACCCCACCTCGCGCCGTGTTCTGTCCTCCCATGACGTCACGTTTGACGAGTCGGTACCTTACTACCGTCTCTTCCCCTACCGCACTGCGCCCCTCCCCCCGCCGCAGCTCTTCCTTGCGCCAGGTCCTCCCCCGGTAGACCCCCTCCCCCCTCAGGGTCCTGCCCCGTCACGTGTGACCTAGGTAGACGCAGTCGGGCCTGTCAAGGTAGCTGTTGACTCTGGTGCTGCTAGAGGTGCTGAGCCTGCGGGTGCCGAGTCTGGAGGTGCGGAGCCTGGGGGTGCTGAGTCCAGGGGTGAGGAGCCTAGAGGTGCTGAGCCTGGGGGTGCTGACACTGGGGGTGCTGAGCCTGGGGGTGCGGAGCCTTGGGGTGCTGGGTCTTCTCGTGTGGCCTCTCGCGGTGCTTCGTCGAGGCGGGAGCCACTCTCTCTGCAGGAGCTGCGCGAGTGGTTTGCCCGACGCTGGAGTCGTGCTGCTGGAGTTGGAGGTACTACAGTTGTTGCTGGTCCCGGAGGTGTTTGTACTGGCGGCACTGGAGCTGCTGGGACTGGGGGTGCTGCTGGGGCTGCTGGAGTTGGTCCTGCTGGAGGTACTGCTGGAGCTGCTGGCGGTGCTGGAGCTGCTGGAGCTGGAGCTGCTGGAGGTGTTGGCGCTGGTTGTTCTGCTGGCGCTGGTGCGTCTGAGGGTGTTGGAGTTGGCGCTGTTGGAGCTGGAGGTGCTACTTGCACTTGTGCTGCCGCTGGGGGTACTGGTGCTGTCCCTGCTGGTTCTGGAGGCGCTGCGCGACCGCGGCCGTACTTTGTTCCGCTCCTTGAGCAGGTTCTTGGTCTCCCGCCCTCTGCTGGTCCTGCTCCTCCCTTAGAGTGTCCACAGCCTGTCCAGTCGTAGTCACAGTTACAGCCCGCCTCCCCCCTACCTACTCCTTCTCCCTACACTGGTCCTACTAGAGGTCTTAATGAGCGTCGTGAGCCTGCGTCTCGTCCTGCGTCGCCTGTTCGTGCTACTCGCACTAGTCGTCGTGCTCCGCGTCCGCGTCCTCCTGCAGTCCCAGGCACACACTAGATGGCACTGCGTCCTTCCACTGCTCCTCTGCGTGTCCCGTTGCCGTCTCCTCCAGAGTCCTCTCTTCCTGTTCTTGCTGACCCGGAGTCTGACTCTCTTCGTGCTACCAGTCCTACTGTCACGCGTCTCCTGGCTAGTGTTGACACGGACCCTTCCTTTGAGTCCACTGCTGTGTCGGCCCTAGTTGCTGAGCTTGTCGACTATGCTGCTCGCTGTCGTCTAGACTACGCTGCTAGTCTTGTTGCTGAGTCTGAGTCTGTCTGTCCTCCATCCGTCGGGGGTGAGTGTGCTCTTAGCACGGACGTCCTTGAGGACAGGCAGGAGGAGTTCCAGTGTTTTGCTGTTGCTTTGCCTCATCTCGTGTCCACGTTGATTGCCCCTGAGGGAGACCCGGATGCACCAAACATCCCGACTCCTTGATCGTACGCTGAGGCGATCAAGGGTCCCTACTCCTCTCAGTGGCAGTCAGCCATGGACGCAGAGATGGCTTCCTGGAAGTCCACAGGCACCTACGTTGACGAGGTTCCCCCACCTGGGGCGAACATCGTTAGTGGCATGTGGATTTTCAGGGTGAAGCGGCCGCCGGGTTCTCCGCCTGTCTTCAAGGCGCGTTACGTGGCTCGAGGCTTCAGTCAGCGGCAGGGAGTTGACTACTTTCAGACCTTCTCTCCCACCCCGAAGATGACCAGTCTTCGGGTGCTGCTGCACATAGCCGCTCAGCGCGACTACGACCTTCACTCTCTTGACTCCAGCACAGCTTTCTTGCAGGGCAGCCTGCACGAGGAGATCTGGCTGCGCCGCCCACCTGGCTTCACCGGGTCGTTTCCTCCTGGTACCCAGTGGAGCCTCCGGCGGCCAGTCTACGGTCTCCGCCAGGCGCCCCGTGAGTGGCACGACACACTGAGGACTACACTTGCAGCTCTTGGGTTTGCTCCTTCTACAGCCGACCCGTCGCTGGTTCCGCGCACCGACACCTCTTTGCCGCCGTTCTACATCCTCGTGTACGTCGACGACTTGGTCTTTGCCACTGGTGACACTGCTGGACTCGCCCACGTGAAGTCCGAGCTGCAGAAGAGACACACGTGCACAGACCTGGGTGAACTGCGCAGCTACCTTGGCTTGCAGATCACCCGGGACAGAGCACGGCGCACCTTTACCCTGACTCAGTCACACATGGTGCAGCAGGTCCTTCAGCGCTTCGACTTCACGTACTCCTCGCCTCAAGCCACTCCTCTGTCTACTTGCCACTCGCTCTCAGCTCTGCCTTCGGATGAGTCCGTAGAGCCGAGTGGCCCGTACCCAGAGCTTGTTGGCTGCCTCATGTACCTGATGACCTGCACACGACCTGACCTTGCATACCCTCTTAGCATCTTGGCACGCTATGTTGCTCCTGGGAGACACCGACCAGAGCACATGGCTGCGGCAAAGAGGGTGTTGCGCTACTTGTGCAGTACGTCGCGCATGGGGCTAGTGCTTGGAGGGCGACGTTCAGTGGTCCTCACAAGTCATGCAGACGCTTCTTGGGCTGAAGACCAGGCTACGCAGCGGTCGTCACAGGGTTACACCTTCAGCCTTGGCTCGGGCTCTGTTTCGTGGCGGTCTACCCACTCGTCTTCTGTTCTCGGCTCCAGCTGTGAGGCTGAGATCTACGCGGGGGCCATGGCTGCACAGGAGCTACGCTAGCTTACTTACCTGCTAACTGACCTAGGAGAGCCGCCTCGTTCTCCTCCACTTCTGTACGTAGACAACAAGGCCATGCTGGCCTTGTGTCGGGAGCACAGACTGGAGCACAGAACGAAGCACATTGCTCTTCGCTACTTCCTTGCTCGTGAGCTGCAGCAGCGTGGTCAGCTGCGCCTTGCTACGGACTCAAAGGAAGGGTCACTGACAACAGTAGCCAGGAGACGCGTGACAGAAGGACTGGCAGCACGAAGAGAGTCAAACTCCAGATCAGCAAGAGTAGGAAGAGAGGACTCTAGAGGAGACGGCAACGGGACACGCAGAGGAGCAGTGGAAGGACGCAGTGCCATCTGGTGTGTGCCTGGGACCGCAGGAGGATGCGGCCGCGCAATACGACCACCAGTGCGAGCAGCACGAACAGTCGACGCAGGACGAGATGCAGGCTCACGACGCTCAGCAAGACCTCCAGTAGGACCAGTGTAGGGAGAAGGAGCAGGCAGGGGGGAGGCGGGCTGTAAATGTGACTGCGACTGGACAGGCGGTGGACACGCTAAGGAAGGGGCAGGACCAGTAGAAGGCGGAAGACCAAGAACCTGCTCAAGAAGCGGAACAAAGTACGGCCTCGGCCGCGCAGCGTCTCCAGAACCAGTAGGGACAGCACCAGTACCTCTAGCGGTAGCACCAGCGCTAGCAGCACCTCCAGCTCCAACAGCGCCAGCTCCAGCACCCTCAGACGTACCAACGCCAGCAGCACCACCAGCGCCAACACCCCCAGCAGCTCCAGCTCTAGCAGCTCCAGCAGCACCAACTCCAGCAGGACCAATAGCTCCAGTACCGCCAGCAACTCCAGAAGTACCTCCAGCAGCACCAGCAGCAACAGTAGTACCTCCAGCTCCAGCAGCACGGCTCCAACGTCGGGCAAACCACTCGCGCAGCTCCTGCGGAGAGAGTGGCTCTTGCCTCGAAGAAGCACCGCGCGAGGCCACACGAGCAGACCCAGCACCCCCAGGCTCAGGACCCCCAGACTCAGCACCCCCAGGCTCAGCACCCCCAGACTCAGCACCCCCAGGCTCAGCACCCCCAGGCTCCGCACCCCTAAACTCAGCACCCCCAGGCTCCGCACCCTCACGCTCAGCACCTCCAGACCCGGCACCCGCAAGCACAGCACCTCTAGCAGCACCCGAGTCAACAGCTACCTCGACAGGCTCGAGTGCGTCTACCTGGGACACACCTGACGGGGCAGGACCCTGAGGGGGGAGGGGGTCTACAAGGGGAGGACCTGGCGCAAGGAAGAGCGGCGGCAGGGGGAGGGGCGCAGTGCAGTAGGGGAAGAAACGGTAGTATGGCACCGACTCGTCAAACGTGACGTCCTGGGAGGACAGAACACGGCGCGAGGTGGGGTGGTAAAACTGCCAACCAGGCGCATCAGGGGGGAAGCCAAGGAAGACGCAGGGAACAGCACGGGGGGACAGCTTGTCCGCAGACAAGTCGCGAACAAATGCCCGAGATCCCCGGACCCGGAACGCAGACGCATCGCCAACCTTCCCTATCCACCACAGGGTAGGGGAGGTCTCTGGCAAGGAGACCCGGAGCTGGAGGTTGAGCTGATGCGCTGCGTACTGAACTGCAAACGGCCACAGAAAATGGGGGGCAGCTGCATGGATCATGGACGTATGAGCGACGTCCATGACCATGCCAATGCGGCGCTCAGCAATCCTATTTTGCTATGGAGAGGCCGGAAGCGTGAAGGTCTGGCGGATGCCCTGTGCTCGACAGAAGGTTCCCAGATGGGCAGAGGAAAACTCCCCGCCTCTGTCAGAGTGCCGACGCAGAACAGGAAAGTCCGAGCCGAAACTCTCCCTGAGCTGGAGACAAGCTGCGCGGATCCAGTCCATCAACACCTTTGTGACGTCGCCCTTGCTGCGCAAGGGGAAGAGTGTGGTGTAACGCGAGTAGTCGTCAACCACCAACAGGAAGTAACGCTCGTGCCCCTGTCCACGGATGCGGGCGGGGCCCCACACGTCCATGTGAAGAGTCTACAGCGGAGCCTCCGTCGGAGGAAACTCGGAGGAGTGAGGGGCGGCGCGCTGTCGACCCTCGACGCAGGGGACGCAAGTAGGGGCGGGCCCCGGAGTTAGGGGAGGGAGAGACCGGGGGAGACCAGAGACAAGGACAGGGGAGGCCATGCCTCGGAGGCGAGGCAGGGAGGGGTGACCAAGGCGGTGGTGCCAAAGGAGAGTCTGGTGGGACAGGAGACGACACGAGCAGGGAGCAGACTCAGGACAAGACCTGGACGCTGCAGCAAACACCTGACTCGACGCAGCTACCTGACCAGACGCAGCAGCCGGAGGAGACTCAGTAGTAAGTGTGTACAGGCTCGACCCTGGCCGACGGGTGAACGTGGCCAAGTGTCGGCGTGTCCGAGCACACGTGCAGTGGATCACCCGCTGACTCGCAGGAGTGAACTGGTCAACCCCCCTATCCTGTAGGTCAGCTCCACTCACCAAGTTCGTAGAGAACGAGGGGAGGTAGAGACCTGACAGGATGCCAGAGGGGGGCTGCCGGGCACGGTATGACAGTGGAGAAGTGGGCAAGGACAGGACCCCCAGAGGGGTCCGCCAGGGAGACCGCAACCGGCCGACTAAGCGGCGTAAGCATGGTGCGGTCGCGAAAGAAGGAGCGGGAAGCACCCGAGTCAAGGGTAAAGGTGTGTAAGGCCTGAGCCGACGTGGTACCTGAGAGAGCAGACTCACCAGCACCTGGGGCAGCAGACACACTAGCACCTGGGGCAACAGACGCTCTAGCACCTAGAGCAGCAACCTCACCAGTACCTAGAGCAGCAGCCTCAATGCCCAGGTCAAGTAACAGTCACCCTCAACACTAACAGTCACAGCATACATGGCTGCAATAATAGCATCATAGTCAAGATCTTAGATGGCAACCCCCGCCCTAAACAGATCTCCTTAGCGAGGGATCTCTGACGCCTCAGGGAACTGGTGACGCCACGCGTCCGTCAGGCGGCCGAAGCAGCGCTGGGTGGAGTGCGGGCCCCCACACTGCTCACCAGCGCGGTCGCCGGTACGGAGAACGTAAGTGCAGGGACCAGTACCCCCACCGCTTTGACGCGCAGCGTACCACTCACGAAGCTGCTGAGGGGACAGGGTCTCACGACTGGGTTGCTGCTGCTGGCGCGGACCACCTCCGGACCCACTCCTCTGCGTAGAGTCGCGAGCAGCTCCACCGCCGCCGCCGCCGCCGGCGCCTCCGCCGCCGCCGCCGGCGCCTCCGCCGCTTCCGCCACCTCCGCCACCTCCGCTCCCTCCGCCACCACCACCGCCTCCTCCGCCTCCACTGCTGCCACTGCCGCCGCCACCCCCGCCACCACTCCCACCACCACCCCCACCCCCTCCACTGCCTCCACCACCACCTCTACCGCCCCCGCTAGCCCCTCCAGCTCCCTTGCCCCCCTTGCCCTTGCCGGTGCGGCGCCTCCCGCTAGGGGCAGACGCAGCGCCGACCGCGTAGAAACCAACGAGGTCGGCAGCAGCAGCTGAAGCAACAGAGGGCAAGAGGGGGGAGGGGAAACACCCCTCAAAGATGGGGGTGCGAGGGTCACCACGAGAGGCTCCTACAGCTACTATGCTCTTCTCTGCTGCTAGGAGGCGCTCCTCCAGGAGGTCAACGGTGAGAGTGGTGGGGCAAACTGAGAGGAAGTGGTCCCTGACTAAGCAAAGAGAGTCAGGGAGCCGGGTGACTATGTAGTAGAGGGTGATATACATGGGGGGGGGGGTTCTTGGCGCAGAACTCAGCAGAAAGCGCAGCGCGGTAGCGAGTGTCACTAGTGCGGAGGTGCGTAATGAGGTGAGCGACTGTGGGAAAGGCAGCAAGGTGAGGGAAGAGGTACGGTAGCATGAGGCGGCTCAGTGCAGCAGTGGCAGGGGAAGAGTAGCGTGCAACTACAGCGTCGTAGAAGGTCTGAGCACTCTTGTACTGGCTAAAGTGTGCACGCTCAGTGGTCGATAAGTGGTGACGCACAGCAAGACGGGCAGCAGCATCGCGCGTCGCCCACTGTGAGCGAAAAGTGCTGTCAGCAGTAGCAGGCGGGGCAGGGGAGGCACCAGAGGTGAGGTCGAACAGAGAGAGGCCGTCTGCCCTATCGCACTGGAGGAACAGCTGGAGGTCATCGACCCAGACCTCAAAGTCAACAGCACGACCCTCAGTGTCAAAGGTAAGAACACTGAGGGTAGCCATGACTGCAGAGGTCTAGCAAAAAGTGAGCTCACCAGTACGTGTAAGTAGGGCCGGGGCGCGCCGGTAGGACTGGTAGCAGCTCGACGGCAGGGCGGCTCGGCGGCTCAGCGGCTCGGCTGCTGGGCAGCTCGGCTGTCGGGCGGCTCGGCTGCTGGGCGGCTCGGCGGTTAGGCTGCTGGGCGGCTCGGCGGCTCGGATGCTGGGCGGCTCGGCTGTCGGGCGGCTCGGCGGCTAGGCGGCTCGGCTGCTGGGCGGCTCGGCGGCTCGGCTTCTGGGCGGCTCGGCGGCTCTGCTGCTGGGCGGCTCGGCGGCTCTGCTGCTGGGCTGCTCGGTAGAGGCGGCGTTGGGGCCGCTAGGGGCAGCGACAGGGCCGCTTAGGGAGGGGAGCGGCGACGGGGCCGCGTAGGAAGGGGGGCGGCGACGGGGCCGCTAGGGGCGGCGACAGGGCCGCGTAGAGGCGGCGTTGGGGCCGCTTAGGGGCGGCGACGGGGCCGCTTAGGAGCGGCAGCGGGGCCGCTTAGGGGCGGCGACGGGGCCGCGTAGGTGGGAGGCGGCGACGGGGCCGCTAGGGGCGGCGACGGGGCCGCTAGGGGCGGCGACGGGGCCGCGTAGGGGCGGCGACGGGGCCGCGTAGGGTGAGAGGCGGCGACGGGGCCGATAGGGGCGGCGACGGGGCCGCTAGGGGCTGCGACGGGGCCGCGTAGGGGTGGCGACGGGGCCGCGTAGGGGCGGCGACTGGGCCGCGTAGGGTAAGAGGTGGCGACGGGGCCGCTAGGGGCGGCGACGGGGCCGCTAGGGGCGGCGACGGGGCCGCGTAGGGGTGGCGATGGGGCCGCGTAGGGGCGGCGACGGGGCCGCGTAGGGTGAGAGGCGGCAACGGGGCCGCTAGGGGCAGCAACGGGGCCGCATGGAGGGTGGCGACGAGGCCGCTAGGGGCCACTAGGGGCCTGGAAAGGGCTGCAAAAAAGGCGCGCCTCGGGCAGGAGCGATTGGCGCTCCGGTCAGAGAGGATAATTTCAGTGGTGGGCCCAAGGAAGCGTTCCCACTAGGGAACCTGCTCTGATACCATGTGAAGAATGAGGAATGAATGAACTAGCAAGCAGGTGGGTACAAGTAGGAAGACCTAGGAGTATTGTACCCCATATTGTCTACCCCACTACAGCCTACACAGACTATAGCATATGAGTGACACCTTCACCGTCAAATAAGACGGCATCCGCAGCAACCTTGTCCGCCTCCGCCACAGCATCCGCATCCGCAATGGCGGCCACCTCCACAGGCACAACTGTCTCGGCATCCGCTTCCGCCTCGTCGTCAGCCTCCGCATTTGCATCCACCGTCGCTCCCGGTGCATGCGCCGCTGCCTCCACGTTGTCACCATCAGCATCCGCACCTCCGTCGTTGTCCGAATCACCAGCCCGCCACTCTTCCACTTCGTCGTCGCTTCCGACCGGCCGATTCCACCACTCGTCCTCCTCGATGTCGGTAGGAGCTAATTCGTCACCCGAAGCGCTGTCGCCGTGGCCGTTCTCCGGCCAATCCTCCTTGGCGTCATTGCCGTGTTCTTCGTCGCCGTCGTCCCCATCACAGCTTGCACCGGAGGCGGTGGTAGAACGTCCCGCCTTGCTCGCGTTCTTCGCCATGGCTACACGGATATCATCGCCGGGCGAGTTAATCCGCCCGTAGTTATTCACCTGCACGTGAGGACGAGGAGAGGACGAGCCTGGGGGTAATTTGCTGCGCATGGTTAGAAAGCCTGCCGAGAGCAAGGTTGATACGGAGTATTCAACCTCTTTGAGCACCAAATGAAGCACGAGCCCGACTACCCCCCCCTCAGCCTGAGTTCCCCATCCAAAGGTGCCGAGCCGCTCCTCTACAAGGCATCTCCTCGTAGAGGACAGTCCTCACGCCGCCATCGTGCTGCCAGGAGCGTTCTGGAAGCATCCATGCGCTGCTTGCAGCAAAACGACGCTGGCAGTATCATTAGATGCTGCCAGCACTGAGGAATGTTGCCAGCGGTGGCAGCTTTGCTGCATCCCTCACGTGGCAAGTGTGGGCGCTGCATGCATCACCACCGAGGTCGGCCTGTTTCAATGAATCTGGTCCCAAGGTGGTTTCTACACACTTTGCAAGTGTTACAGACTCCTTATAAAATTTTCCCTTTATAAGACTTATAAGACACCCTAAACCATCCCAAGTACAAGATAACACAAGCATTTTGAGTAGTGTACGAGATAAGAGATATATGTCATATATCCAGGCGATGACTGTATATCCGGGGTGATACAGTGTTACGCCATAGTGAGGTACTTACTCCTACTTGTATAGGGTACCGTATTACCCCGGACATACCACCCGCCGAAATAGAGCACCCCCCAGGTGGCTTGTGCGGGGGGGGTGCTATAGCGGGCCTCATTTCTACTATACCCCCCTTTTGGGGCGATCTGATATAGCACCCGGGGGGGTGGGTGTTATGTACGGGTAATATTGCAGTTTTTGCAAATATACACTGTGGTTGACGGCGAACGTGCACTGTACTTTGGGTGGCACATTGTGGGCGATATTCGTGGCTGTGTGGTGCCAAGTCACACTGACGTGTACTTTCGCGTACACTTGTCCAGATTTTATGGCAGGCGAACTTCAGAAGAACCGTGATCTGACCCAACAGTTTGTGTGACTTCAGTACAGTAAAATCACGACTGCCAGCTTGGTTGTGTGTTCTGTTTGATTTCGACCGGCCAGGGAAGTGAGGCGTGGGAGGGAAATGGGAGAAATT